GGTGCCACTGGAGTTCCCCAGCGAGCACCCAACCAATGGGTTTGGATCTGGTTTTAAAGTATGGTCCTTTTTCCAGGGGGTCGAACTGGGAGGTCTTCCGTTTTTAATTTTTAATGGAGCTGGAAGCAGCTGATGGAAACAGATCACCTCAACGAGATGGCAACAGCAGATGGCTGGGAAGATGGCGAGGTGATCGGGAGGAAAAAGAAACTCCAGGGCCTAAGTTGTGAAAATTAATAGTCCCAAGGTCCCTGAATCCACTTCCCCTACCCCAGAGAAGAGATGAAACTGATCAGTTCATCACGAGGTCACATCCGCGGCCCGAGGCGAGGCGAGCAGCTACTGTACGCTAAACGAACGCCCATGCACGCCCGCACGAACGCCCGAACGCCGGGAGGGGACCCGGAGTTCGTGCGACGAGAGCCTACGATGGCAGAAGAGACGAAACACTCGATCGGTTTATTAAGTTCTTTCAAGCGCAAGGCTCTTTCACCAAGGCCTCCGATCCAGCATCAGAACTCTGTGAAGCAAGAACTGAATAGTGGAGTTGAGCAGCAAGCCTCTGGAAATTAATCTGTTGAAAAAGTGAAAAAAGTCTTGAAATAGAGCTCAAAGAATTCAACCAGCTCACGGACTGGATTTCAAGGAGCCAGCACCAAACACTTTCAAAAAACATGTCACAAGCCCTGTTGTGTTACATATGTTTTATCGGGTGCGGTCTTCGGTCTACCTCCCCACCCATCCACCAGAACAACCTCCTTCCACTCCAGCCTTTTGGACAACGTCCTCCTGTGGTATCCAGGAGGTGCCTCCCAGTGCTCCCCGATCTGTGCTCCCCTGTATCTTGGTGAACCCCGGTGGCCACACGGGACGTCGTAACAAGTCGCAGCTCGAACGGCCTCGTCTCCGCGGAGACCGGAGACCCCGGTTTTTCCGGTTTTCCGGCGCCTGGGTGAAGGCGATGAACGACCAATCCTTCAGCTTGGTGAGCTCGTTGATGATCGGAATGATCTCTGCCTCAGCAGTGTGATGATCTCGCCACACAGCTCGTGCCACAAAGAGGTTTAAGAAAACAGCTGGCTCATCGACTTCTCTGACAGCGAAGGCAGAAGGAGGAGAAAAGCGCGTGGACGTTTATCGCGCCGCAGTTTTCCTCACCATTCTGGAAACCCCAACGGCCCCAAATTTGACTATACAGTAAAATAGTTGACCCGCCTTATGATTGTCAGAATCGTACATGAAAAGCTCTGGGCTGCTTTTATGGTGACACCAACGTGCCTTCGATGCTCCTGCCCGTTCACACGGGCGGCCGACACGTCCCGAGTCCAGTCCCAACCCGTCCCGCTCCGTTCGACGCCCCCGCTTCGGGTGCGAAGCAAGGAGCTCCGCCGTCCACCGGAAGACTGCCAGAGATGAAGTCATTCCTGGGCCCGGAAAAAAGCAGACCGGCCCATGAAAGACGCCCCAGTCAGATCTCGATGAGGTCTCTCATGTCAGACAGAACACCTGAACACAACACCTGGCCGGTCTGGTTCACACCTGAGCCCACAAAAAAACCAAACACCTGCGAGTCTCGCCAGGTCTGGCGGACCGCCCGAGCACCGAAGCGGGCGAGGGCGACAAAACCGAGGCGACGCCCGGTGTGACACGAAGGAAAGGGGGCCGTCGCAGCATGAAAAGCCGGAACGGTGCTGACCAAAGAAGGGATATCCACCTGGATTTCTCCAGTCCCAAGCAGAAACTAATGGATGTTTCTCCAAGCAACCACTGAGTTATGTCAAGGATCTCAAGCAAGGCTAAGCCATATAGCGGGAACAACCACTGTTGTTTCGACTTGGGACTGGCTGAAAACAGTCAGACCGGTTGACCACCTCGCCGCGCGCGCGCCCGGGTCCGCCGCGGTCCACCGGGCGTCTGCATGTCCACCACGATCAACACCGACTTCCTGAGTTTGGTGCTGATCGGCATTCTTCACCGGACCCATCGAATCTCCCCAGCGAGCGATGGCTGCGCTCGAAAGCCTCTGTATGGCTATGGCTGTAAACGCGGCCCCTGATCGCGTTTTGTGGTGTAAAACCCTTCGTAAAACAAGGGTGGTTGGGGATTCAGGCTATTAAAACAATGGTGGTGCGACTTCTAGGGCATATGGCTTCCTACTTCTGGAAGTGGCACTGTAGTGTTTTCAGACGGACTCCCCATGTAGATGATGCGTTCTTCTCCATCAATATGGGTGTACACCAAGCAATTTGTGTTTCTGGTACTTTACCTACTGAAGAATGTTGGTGTGGCTTTGCCTCACAAGCTTTCGCCGAAAAAGGACCCTGTGAACCACCTCCAGAAGATCCCCCAGCATCAAAAGACGAGCAAACTCCAACACCAGAACCTGCAGACGTCCAAGTCTTTTGGAAAGATATCCAACATGGACCACACACCAGGTCCATAATCACCACCTCCTTCGCAGGCACTGACCTCTGGGAAGCTCTGCTCTGACAGTCCAAGACGTTTAAAAAGACTAGTAGCTTCTTGTTACTAATGGCCTCCAATCCAATAACAATGGCCTTCAACCTGGTAGCGATGGCCTCCCACCTAGCTAGTAGCTTCTTGTTACTAGTAGTAATGCACTTGGCTACTAGTAACTAGTAGCGATGCACTTGTTACTAGTTAGTAGCTTCTTGTTCCCTGAAGAACTTCACTTCACTTCCATGAGCAAAATACTGTCCTTTGGACTTCAAGTGGGTCTGTAAATCAAAAACACTCACGTTGCTGACGCAGCAGAAAAACACATGCGCTGCTACATGCGCTGCGCTCGCCAAATCGCTAGTGGCTCCAGACTTCGAGGGCGTCTCTGCTCCGTTTTACCTTTTCGGCCTCCTTCGGAGGACCCCGACAGTGCTGCCCAGCATCCCAGACAAGCCACACAGTGGCTCGGACGTCGAGGCGCTCTGCCTCTTCTTCTTCGTCCAATGTGGCTTCCGTCGCCTGGGTCCGTCTGCGAGAGCGTCCGTCTGCGAGAGTCCGGGGATGGGGATCGATCACAGAGCGGGAGTTGGAGGCGGAGTGCCGCACGTCCGACATGGGAATCTTGAAGAATGCCTAGGGCCTAGCGTGTTGCATGGCGTGTTCTTTCTCTTGAGAATCGCAAGGTTCAGGACTCGAGAACACAGAAAGTGAGGAAGGGTCTTTCTAGAGGAAGGCATGAGTTTCTTGAGTTTCTGGTGGACACACTCTTGGTGTCAGGACAGATGAAGAGGTCCTAGTTTAACAAGTCTAAGATTGACCAAATGTTCTATCAGAAGAGGTCAAATGAATTTTTCTCCAGACTAGCATGTTCAACAACCATCCGCATCGGTGGGTTGCCAACGGACGACTCAGAGTTGTAAGGGTTTGCCACCAGAAATCGCTGACAAGTAGAAGGACCCACCACCTTACATGACACATCTGGATCTATCAACGATGCCAAATGTCTGCCAACTATGGCTGCTTTTTATGGATGAAGTTCGGCAGAAATTGGTCACGGTTGGAAGATCCAGAAACCTTCGGAATTGTCCCCTTCATTTTTTTGGATTCACCAAGTGGCTGCGTCTGCAAGAAGTTGGCCTCTTCCGCCTCGCACACACCGCCCGTGCAGTCGGAAGAGGCGCCAAGGCTCAGCGCCGCGTTCCACAGGGTGAGCACCAAGAGCAAACGGCCATTGGCCCTTCGAGGCTGGACGAACTCTTCGTCAAAAACCAAGGCTTGGCTTTCTCCACCTCTTGCTGAGTGACAAATGACTCATTTTACCTCCTAACAAGTGGTGGATCATGACTGAGGGAAAAAACAAGTCATTAGAAGTTCTGGGTATACAATATCAGGTATACGGTATACGGTATACCGCGCTGGTTCGGTTGTTGTGGCCTCCAAAGACCAGCCCTTCGCATGCAAAGAAAGAAAAAAAACTCGCAAAATGGTCTGTTCAACCTCTACCAGTACAGTGGACTCTGGGAGACCCATAGCCACGCCCTCCACAATCCATCCTTTTCCCTTCCATCCTTGTTCGGAGAAACACTGCGGCTCTTTCTTGATCCCCAACCCAAGCACTGCGTGCAACCGCTCTAGTTGCATGGACCCCAGCTCTCAGTGGGACGAGGATGCATGTTCCAAACCAGGCCTCGAGTTGTCCCAGCTGCCTCTGTTCGATGAAAAACCATTCGTAGGTCACCCTCCCATTCTGAGGCCCCTGGGCCCTGGACCCGCAGGGGTCTGGACCCGAACCAAACGCTGAAACCATTTGGATCGTGCGGATGCCGACTCCAATCGAACGATCCGTTCGTGGTACCTCCCGTGGGTCAAGAAAGGCCCTTGGAGGTCTTCACGGCCCCTGATCAAAAATCGAAGGCCCAACCACAAAAATAAATCCATCGTGCAACATCATCTTCATGAGCCCAAGCCACACGGTCATGGCAGGGCTGATGTTCTCAACCTAAGCTAATAGATTCAGGTTCGGTCGTCAAGTTTAGAGCCCCGCGGCTGCAAGCGGAGCGGCTCGGAATGGCCCAACTCGTGCCAAGGCTGCAACTGCACCAACAAGAACTAGCAGTGAAGTACGGGGGGTGCTGAGTTGGAGGAAGTACGGGGTGCGTTTTCTCACATCCACGGCCCCTGGATATTGGATATGGATCCAAAGACCAACTCCAATGGAACTGCTGTGTTCCACAGAGCCATCGCAGCCATCCACAGCCGCCGCGCGCCGGCGAACTTCCCCGGTGCTGTGTGGGGACGGGTACCCCCTCTGCCCGCGGGTGGCGATGCTGGGGTCCAAAGGGGTTCGTGACGCTGATGTCGCACGGCGCGAGTTCACTCGCGGTGTGAAAAAGATGGCCTAGGCCAGGGCCCCACACCTGGACATGGATTCTGCTAGTTTTTCCATGTCCAGGTTGCACTGACCTAGGTTCGACGTCACGGTGGTCAGTGAACCCACGCTCCGTCGCTCCGGTCGCCGGTGGCACGCCGCAATGTGGCGCCTTCATGCGCTGGATGTCGGAGCAAGTCGACCTCAACCGAGGCCGGACGACGGGCGGAAGACCGCCGACACAAAGGGAAGGATTGCATGACGGGAGAAAGGAGATCCTTTAGACAGGTGCTTCCCCAAAGAGTGGCACGGTGGCACGAGGACATGTTGGGATGAAGGGATGTACTGTTCTATCTCTTTGGTCTCCATAGGAACTTCGGGGACGTACCATGAGTCCTCCGCTTGAGGACGACCATCTTCCCAGGTGGCTTTCGCTCCACGAAAGAACAAAAGGTCGTGGTCTCTGTGGACGGTCATGGTCATTCATTCCATCTGTCTCTCTCTTTTCATCGTCAGGCGAGGCGAACCCGGCACGGGTCCCCATGAACTTCCCCTCAGTCCGTGCAGTGACGCCGAGTCCGTCCGGCGTTCGTCAGGGGGTCAGGGCAACTGGTCGCGGCAGCCTCCTTAGGTCCCAACCAAAGTACTCCCGGGTTTCGAGACCCGGGTTCCCGGGGCGAGTTCGGCATGGACCTACAACCCAGTCTCAGTGGTTCTCAGAAGATGTGGATCTCGGAACCAGGGCATGGTTCTTGGAACCAGAAGGCCCCATGTTCAGCCGAATGAGATCGACTCCGCAGCCCACAAGCTGACCCTCACGCTGGCTCTGCTCTGCGGCCCCAAAACACCACGACCAATGGCACCAGCATCGACCAATCGCCCAAACGCCTGGCAATCCTCTTCAATCAATCCCCTCCAGAGAAAGGTCCAGGACCGAGGCTTTGAGTCCAGAAGGGGTCCTGCTCTTCGGTCCTCCTCCCAAAAACCACCACCGAGTATGTCATGTCCTGACCCGGAAAAACACAGCGATGCTCTGGACCTTTTCAGAAAAAGAACCGCAGGCAGAGCCAGCCGACGCGGTGGACCGCCCGGTCCACGGCCCGTCCGGGTTCCCGAGCGAGCTGATCTCCCAGGTCGCTGGGCACCCCCAGCAGGGACGACCCGGTGTCCTGCCGCCGCTGGGAGGGATCGCCACGGACTGCAGACTGCGCCACGACTTCTGAGGGTGAAGGATAGTGAAGGCCTGTCCATGGGCGTACTGATTCAGTCCATTGCTGTCCTCGTTTCCAATTCTGGTTCCCAGAATCAAGTGGAGAAGAATCTAAGTGCATGAACAGATCTGCTTCATCTGGGTCTGTGAAGTGCATGAATTGCATGTTGTTCTGTTGCGTTTCTACTTGAAGCCCATTGCACACACCATTTTGTGAGGTTGACCATACTACATATATCCCCCCGGCCGCCGCGGAACACATGGACCGACATTGTGAACGACAGGTGTCTAAAAGTCCGAATGTAGACTCTTCTCATTCTGAGTCTACAGTTAGGTCATCTGTTTTGAACATGCTTTTTCACGTTAGAAACCACATCAAAGCCACGAGAATCACCATCAAACACAGAACCACCTGCACCGTACCTGCCTGCTTCTTCCATTCTCACCACACCACCCCGACCCACCGATTCGTCGTTCCACAGCGATGTGCGTCGCTCGGTCCACCACGGCTCGGCAGCCCTTGGCGCAGAAGTCTAAGACTTGACCGTTCGCCTCGGGTCGAGCGAAGCGAAGCTCTCGCGGCGCGCGGAGGCCGAGCAGAAGACCAAGGCGAGGCGAGGCAGGCGAGGGGTGACGTGCCATTGTTGCAGACGGGTGAGGGCGAAGAGAGAGAGAGAGAGCGAAAGCTGTTCGAACATCAGTGATGTTGATGTCCTTGAAAATGAAAGCCGTGTTGTTTTAGATTCGTCCTCTTTGTCGCCAGCCTCTCAGCTTTCGTGCATTGGCCATCCCTCTGTGCACGAACTTGCTGTTTCCTCTGTGACCCACCGAACCGGACTTCATGAACCCACCGGCACCGGGCCACCCAATCCTTCCCCCGCGAACGTCCGCGGACGACGGCCTTGATGCCGAAGACGTCCAGCTGCCAATAACCCTCCTGCCGTGAACGGCGCGTCGGACCGCCGAGAGGTGGTCTGGCGACGTTCGGAGAGAGGTGGTCTGGTCGACCACCCTGCGCTCTGGGAAAAAGAATGAGTGGTGAAGCAGTGCTTCTGTATAGAAAACAGCCTTCCGAATCCCATCAATTGGAAGTGACATGACAAGAATCCCAGCAACTTCCAAATGATCAAAGCTCTTGTCGGGTAGCCAGCTTCGTGCATATGCTGCATGAACCTCATGATGTTACTGAACATGCACTGCAGCGATACACCCGCCCAGCACTCTGCCTCGCTGTCTTGGACATTGCAGAAGGCCTCCAGCGCCAGCTCAAAGCTCAAACACCCGCAGTGAAGAAAAACACACAAAAAAGAACACGTCGAAGCAGGGTTAGCATCCAATTGGGCCAAAAGAGGTAAAAAGCATCCTCCACAGATCAAGCTTCCAAAAGCGTGATCCTCTTCCTTCCCCAAAAGCTCATCCTTTCCTATAGACCAAAAGGAAGTCTCTAAGGCTCGAGACCAGCTCGCTGCCGTTCGTCATGTGTTCGCCTTGGGTTCGCAGCTTTTGTTGGCTGGACCGTTTTCTCCTTTTCAAAGGCCTTTGGATGTCCAAAGCTGGGCGCAAAACTAGATCCAAAACCTCCGGATGTCCTTGCAGTTTCATCCACAAGCTCCAAACCCGGGTACTTCGGATCTATTCTTGCGTCCTTCTGATCCACGGTCGAGCAACACTCTAATAGCCCTCATAGATATGTCCCAACATGAACCCCTGTGAAGATCGGATCGTCAGCATCTTGATGAGCATAATTTTTTTTGGGGGGATGCGGTGCAAAAAACACTTCCTGAAACTCACAGGTGCGTCGAAGATCATGCCCGAGTGAAAGGGAAGAGTTGATGAGAATCTGAGGGTGGTTGAAGGGACGTCTCGCTTTGATGCAAGCACGGAGGAGTTGATCCAAACAGCTTTGGAGATAGGAGGTTTGGTGTGTCTCTCAGTGCAAATGCAATGAACATGGATGAAGGGATGAGCAAATGAAGGGATGAAGAAGGCCATCTCCTGGCTCGGCTCGTCCTTCATTCGATACGCTGAATGTCTCGGCTCGTCACCGGCTCGACTTGTTGTCTCGTCTCGGACCCACGTCAGAGAGGAATCCCACGTCCCCACACGTCAAGTCCTTCAATCGAAACAAGTACAGATTCACACGCATTCACATGCATGACCACCAGTTTTTGTTCACCTTCCAGCGAGAAAAAGAGGTGCAAGAACATGCAAATGTCTGCCATGCCCCGGGAAAACTGCCTTTTTGGGCTACTATAGGAGCCATCGGACGCTACGTTCGGGGCTCCTGGCCTTAAACTACTAGCAACAAGGCTTCGCTACGCACGGCGCGATCGGGTCACGTGGTGACCGAACGACGCCTTCGCTCGTCACCCAAACCGATCGACTGCGGGTCGGGCGGTCGCTGGGCGTGTCCCACTTTTCCACCCACCGAAGGTGATCTCGCTCTCCTCCTGAGCTCAGCGCATGGGAACTCCATGAGTTTGGGTTGGCTTGCAAGGCGGCATGAATTGGTGTGAGGTACGACCCAGTACTCCGGGTGTGCCACCGAGTGCCACGAATGCGGAAGGCGGAATTCGGAAGAATTCGGTGGCGGAATGCTTCGCAGCGGTTTCGAGACCGCTTCGCCCAGTCTGAGAATGGGGAACTCAAGCACACTCTGGTGGAAACCTGTAACTCTTCGTGGAAACAACAATTTCTTCTGTGGCGTAACCTCTCACAAAGGATAAAAAGAATACGTAAGAAGAGCTCCTGCTGCAGAGCTTCCTTTTCTGATTCCTTGGTGTTTTCTGTAAGGTCTCTATTCTCAGGGAAGGCCAAAGATCCTGACAAGATTTGCTTGGATAGCTATACTCTCCCTGCCACCTCCACCCGGCCGCTCTCGCGTCGCTCTCGTGGGACGCCTCGGGGGACTTGGCCAGGAAGACGCCGAACATGCGCTCCTGCCGGCGACCAACGAGAGGAACGCAGCGACCAACGATGAAGTCGTGGCAACCACACGATCGGTCATGGAAATGTTCATGGTTCACCTGTTTCATGGTTGACCTTCCTAGAAAAAGAAGTGTCTAGAAATCGTCTCTTAGAGGTGATGTTAAGGGGTGTCCAAAAAGCCCGCAAATTGGAAGGTCGTGTATACTTCAGGCAGACAAAAGTTTACGCTTGTTAGCCTTCTTACAAAACACTCTGAGGTCAGCGGCGGATCGAATTAACAAGTCTAATTTTCGTGGCAGGTGTGGGACGGTCAATTATCACACCCTTTTAAATTTATAGTAATAAAAGGCTTTCCGGGGTGACAAATGACCGCCCACACCTTCCCTTGTCTCATGGTGTAGGATTCTAGGGGGATAGGGTTGTTATGAGTTTCAACATCAACAAGCGCAACTTTCTTCTGGCCAGTGTAGACTGTTACCATGAATTCAAAGCCCTCAAATTGAAGGGCAAAACCTCTTCCAGATGTGGAGGGTCATTACAAGAAAGGACAACACCTTGCCGCCATAGCCGAAAGGTGAGAGCATGTGCTTCTTCTCCTCGCAAGACTCTTCACATTACCCAACCCCCAATTCCTTCACGGCCACCGGCGCACGTCTCCGGAAAAAGAAAACAACGGACGCGACCGGCAGAAAAAGCGGCGCCGACCAGCGGGAAAAAAAGGGTCTCCCCGTCGGGCACGAGGCTCGTCCAGGACCGAGCTCCAGACGAGGCCTCTCCGGGCGACGACACCGGCGACGTTCCGGGTGTGGACAAACCTGGAAGAGTCATGGTGAATTCGGAAGAGGACCTGCGATCCAGTGCAGCACAACTGGACCGGGACCGGGTTGAGATGCGACCACAACTGCCAGTGACCCGCACCACGAGAAGCTTCCATGAAAGTCGTGCAGGATTGGCCAACTCTTTCTTGGTACTGGCAAACTCTGCAGTCTTGCCTGCTTCTTTGATCATATACCCACCTCAAGAACCCTCAAGACTGGCTCTAACTCTCTGAACCAGGGCCCAGGGCCCCAACATCCACATAGCCGGCCCTCCTCCCAGCAAACCCCCTCCCACACCACACCGGCGAACCCGCCCGTGCCTCTAGGAAGTTGAACTCCAAGGTCTGTGACAGGCTCGGCAGCCCCAAGCCCAAGACTCCATCGAAGCGGAAGCTCGAGAACCTGGGCTGCGCTCCGAGCGCGAACACCGCGCGCCTGGTGTGAAAAGCCGTAAGAAGAAAGCAGCCATGGCCCAGTGAACAAAAAACGGAAAGGGAGTTAAGTCAATGGCCTAAGTGAACAAACGATCCAGGTGGTCTATATTATTGCTGTAGTGAGCAAATGGCTGGAACAAAAAGGGATTGGAAGCAATCATGATATAACGAGATTCATCCATTTATATCACGTATACTGGCCCATGCTTCGTGACCGGTCGAGGTTGCGCGTCAAAACCCGTGCGACGATGCGCCCAGCCCCCCAGCTCCAAACCGGTTGCATGTGTCACCTCCAACTCAACTCCCAAGCTCGGCCCTCCCCCTCTCCAAACACCGCGCATCACGCCGTTCCTTCACAAAAAAGAAGTCCTGGGACGACCCAAAGCTTTTTGTGGCTTCCATGTGCTCTCGCTAAACACACCGCTTGGGACAGCGGAGGCTTGAGAACACCAACAACAAAAAGCTGAAGGGTCGAGGAGCGGATCTTCGGTCATGTCGGTGGCCGAGACCAGACGCAAGTCCACGCAGCCGTGCTCCGCCTGCGCCTCCTCCTGAGACGAGAATGGCCGATGGCGGCTGCCGGGGGGAGAGGTCCAAAACGGGCTGCCGGGAAGGGCTTGAAAGGAACGAGTGAGGAGGCAGGTTCCGAAGAAAGTAACGAGTTCAACTCAGCCTTTTATCTTGGGCCACACCACCTGAGTTGTGGCTTTTGGTCTTCCCAATCCACTCTCTGGTGAGGATGAGAAGGTCCTTCAAGCTTTTCCATGCGAGTGCCCTTTTCTCTGACTCTTCACGCCTTAATCAAGAAGCATCGTGGCAGACTTCGCAGATTCACTTGGGACAGCAGCTGAACTCGCTGAACTCGGCGACGACAAGGCTGGTCGTGCCACCTTCATCCAAGGATTGCAAAACTCTTCGCCCACCCCTGTGGACTCTGTAGCTTGTTGTGTGCACTTCAGGAGTGGCACCAGCTCCTTTCCTGGAACTTTGCCGTAGCGAGCTTGATGAACCCAATCACAGTATCGCATTGCTTGGAGTGTCTCTGAATCCTGAGGACCTTTCAAGGATTTTGTGGCCAACCAATCCAAGAATGAAAGCTTTGTATGTGTGAAGGAAGCTGGGTCAGTCACTTCCATGGCCTTCAACATAGTCCTCCTCAGTTGTTTTGCTTCCTGGCTGAGAGGAAACAACTCTTCCAACTCTTTCATGTAGACCGAAAAAATGACTGGCTCTCAACCACTGCGCTTCAAGCTCTGGAAAAGTTACGGTTTCCGACTCAACCACATCTACAGTTGTACCACTTTCTTGCAAGTGTGAAGGCAACGACCGTTCGAAGTTACATCGTGGGCATTCACATTGAAAGGACCAGCTCTGCGTCCTCTTCTGTCTCTGCTGAAATGGCTTTAAGACATCAAAGTAGGAAATCTGAATCTCCCCGCCGGGAGGTGAAGGGCGATTGGCCCGCACGAAGATCGCATTCCCTACGGACATGGAAGATGCACTTGGACAGCATGAGTGATTCGCCATTGACGTCCTCAAAAAAAGTGTGTGTGTGTGTGTATATATATATACACACATACTGTTTATACTATATATATATATAAAGAAATATATGTTTAGCCAACCTGTGTGATGATTCTGCATTTGCCTTAGGGCTCATATTGAAAAGCTCTAACCATCTCCCTGCATAAAGCAAAACTTAAACCATTGAATCGACCTGTTCGCGACACTTAAACCATTGTCCGTCAAGCTGCGCACCAAACAGGGCAGACGAGCCGAACAGGTCAAAGCTGTTGATCCGAACCACTTGGGCCAGTTGCTCCTCCGACATGGGCATCATCCCCGTCTCCGTTCGCAGTGGGGAGATGTCGTGTCGCCAGGAGAAGTCTTTCAGAGAGACAGCCTTCGTGTCGTTCGTGCCATCTGAGAGCAGCGACAGCACACGACGCACGTGAGGGCTGAGCCTTCAGAGAAGCGCAAGACAATCGAGACTGGAAACGTTCGCCCTTGCCCTCTCTTTGACTGCGCCTTTGAAGTTTCGTTTAAGGCATTGCTGGGTGACGCTTTGCTGAGGCCTCACCAAAGGGGACCTCTCCGAACGATTCCCTAAGGACAGCAACTAATTAAGTCTACAAACGCGTTCAAGACGGCAACTGAGTCTTTCACTCTGCAGCTTGTCTCAAGGCGGGCACCAGGGGCTCCCCAGAGGCATTGAGGCACCGCGCCAGGGGAAGGCCACAGAGGATGACATCACCAGCCTTTGTGGGACCGGTGGCAAAGAGGCCACGTCCACTGGAGGAGGATCGAACCTCCACATTTGCGGCAGCTTCAGGAACCTTGGTCTGGACCACGGTTCCAACGACGTCCGGACCCATCGGACAGTCAGACCTGTAGGCTGCTGATGATTCATGAACCTCCCCTATCGGAAGGGTTCAACATCCCTATATGGGGAGTTAATTGATCAACAGTCAACATACTTGGACCTACTATATACTAAAAGCTTCACATCAGCTCTGAACCAGACAGCTTCGAAAAGAGCGACTCAGATGTCCTCCAAAACACTGGAGGCAACAAGGCTGCCGTCGGAGTCATGGGCATGGCCGGATCCCGTTTCTTTTCTCGGGCTTGGAGCATTGACCCAAAGACGTCCGAAAAGCGAAATCGATCCAAAGACCTGTCTCCATCATCTCCATGGCCATCGGCCATTGATTCTGATGTTTCACTTTGACGCTCCAGAACCTTGCAGCGTTGCAGAAACTCCGTTCGGTCGAGGTAGGTTTCAGCTGCCACCAGGAGATCTTTCCAGTTGATCTCATCTAAAACCTCACGCGCTTCAGAGAAACGCTGCAAACCAACCAGGGCAGCTGCTTTCACTGCCTTAGCTCTTGGATGTTCCAGATCCATCACCATGTCTAAGGCCGCATCAAAGAGCCAGGCCCGCTGTAGAGCTTCGGCCTCCGCCACCTTCACACCGAAGCGCCTCACCCGTGCGCGGGACCACCGCCCACCTGCCCTCCTCCTGCGCCACCCCCGCACTCCACCGGCCGCGACGGCGCCGAGGCCCGCGACGGCCAGCGCCAGCGAGCGGTGGGCCGCGTGGGACCGGGAGGCCATCGCTGGAGGCACCCGTGGGCCGCGTGCGGCGCAGAGCAGCGGACCGGTCGGGCATGGCGCGGAGAGAGCACAGGCGAGGGTCATGGAGCGGGCTGGTTCTGGGCTGCGCACCACGAAAGATGGGCTGTTCTCAGTAACATCTCAGCTGGAGATCCAGAGGTTCGATGTTGAAAGAAACGGATCGGTACGGACACTAGGCAAATCCAAAACGAATAAACTGATCGGTAGCTCCTTCGATAAGATCAACATCGGATGGAATTCAACTTCCTCCAGTTCAGGGATGCAATGTTCAAGGATGATTGAAAAAAGAAGTGTATATGTATAATTATATATGTGTCTATATATATATATATAGAGGGAGATATTATATATGTATATATTTCTGCAAAGATTGCATCTGTGTGGTGTCCTTCTTCTTTTCTTTCAAGCTGAAAAGCCGAGCCAGCTTTACGCTCATGGGCTCGAAGGTGGCGTGAGGAGGATGGGACCCCGGCGCAAGAAAGCATGGACCCGGCGTACCTGTGACCTAAAAGAAGAAAGACTGGTAGAAAAGTAAAAGCCCTTTCAAAATGTATTGGAACTGTGCCACTATCTATTTGGGGACCATAAAGACTAGAGTATTGATGCACCACAAGTACCTCAACTTAATGTCACACATGTCATGCCTGTGCACAACCGACAAAGCGACACACAAAACGGACCCACTTTTAGCCAGTTCCTGATGCTTCCCAACACTGCTCACCTGGGCTCTGCATCAAGTGCAACCAGCCGAATGTGTGCAGTGTACCATCTATGAAGCACCCTTTTAACTCTTTTAACATGTAAAACTATATAGCTGCTAGAGCTTGTCCCCATCAACTGAACGGTTCCGAACACCCATCGCCACACGACTTCGCCACGCGAGTTCACCGCGCTCGCGGACGCATCCCGTGGTTTTCTCGGGCTCGTGCGGATCGTGGCCTTCGTTTCCCGTGGACCGCGAGTGCACCGCGCTCGCGCCTCATCCTCCAAGGGTTGTGAGGCACTCTGTAGGCGAGCACGATCCAGCCTCACATTGGCCAATTCACCCGCCACAACCGCCCGGTCACCCGCCCGGCGCTGCGTCCAATCCAGACCGGTTCGCAGACCTTTCCGCGATTGGGCTGCTTTGCACGAAGGCGGGGTCGCGCGGTCGCGGTGGGGTTTCTTGGTCTCGATCCTCTATCTGCACAGTTCACACAGCAGGAATGTAGACTGTTGATGAATACACCCCCTAGTCTAGAGATGCAAGACTGTGAGACCATTCTGGAGACGGGAGGTTCTATTCATCAACAGATTACATGACCAAACTCCGACCCTTCCTGTCTCTCCATGAGATCATCTTCACGGAAAACCTTGCTGCCGATTCCTTTCCCCAGACTTAGTTTTTGGTGTCCAAATAGCCTCGGACAAGAGAAAGAATCGCCTTCCTGGCAGTACCAAAAGAGATGAGGATCAGTGAACGACGATAGCCCCCTTGCACCGAAGGTGCTGAGCAGTTTGCGTAAGCCGCTATAATTGCTAGATCGCTCATTGAGCTTTAGCTTGGGGAGTGCCTTTTTATCTCTGGAATGTCATGTTCTTTTTTGTTCTTTTAACCGGTGAAAGCAAATCATTGGCGATGTTAGCTATGCTGCCTGAATAATAATGCATTATTGACATCTTGTGCGTTTCCCCTGTTGCCTTCGCGAAAGAGAAACAATATATCCATTGATAATGTTAGTTATGCTGCCTGAATAATAATGCATTATTGACATCTTGTGCGTTTCCCCTGTTGCCTTCGCGAAAGAGAAACAATATATCAATTTATAATGTTAGTTATGCTGCCCGAATGAAAGTGCATTATTCAAAGCGTGTGCGTGTTTGCACCTGCGGATTTGCCTGTTGGGGCTGATTGAGTACGTGGTCAATAGGGAGCGCAAGCGCTTTCTGTGGAGAACACCGTTCGCTGCGAAAATATTGTCAACACTTAAAGAGGTGGAACTGAGACAATGAAGCCAAGGGCATTTTTGCCACTCATTTTCGGGGACCACTGTAGTGATGAAAGGAAAGAAACGCAGCGTGGACGTCCGAAGCTCCGTGCGCGAGTCCCGTCCCTCGTGCCAAGCGACTGCAGTAGCGAGGCGCCCGTGGCACTTCCCGACATCCCAGCATGCACCGCGGCGCCGCGCGCGCGGACATCGGTCGCCGGGGTGGCCTGGCGGGACGAGTCTCTTTGTCTGAGCGCATCCGTGCAAGCTTTCGGGTATTTTGATAGCTATATAATTGATAATAAATAGTAGGTTGATATGATGGCAATTGACAATGGATGATTCTTTTACTCTTTTCTACCAATGCCAATATTCCACGATTCGACTGCCGCCTGCCTTCTTGGGGCCCAGACAGACCTTGTCTTGCCTCGAGACTTGATGGGCGATTGGCGCACGGACGGCCAGCCGTGTATGGTGCCTCTGTCAGACTGCTGTAGCGGAGGCTCTCGCAAGTTCTGATCTGTGTCAAATTTAGATAGATTCAGATGGTACGAGGTGGATTTCCCATGGGTGTTCATCTTTTGTGATTGGCACTTGGTTGATTGAAGAGGAGTCGAATCACCGCAAGGTCAACCGAGATGGGTATGCTGGAACATTTCTCTTGCACTTCTTGAGACCATTGGTCAAGCCATCAGCCTGTGGGGATGCTGGATCCAAATCGAAGGTGTGGATTCCACTTGAGGATGGCTCTACTGAAAGGTCCCACGAAGGAAGGTACAACCTCAGCATCCACCCTCGGAGACTGCCCTTTACATGAACTAATCGAAAGACTCTGTGTTACAATCCATGTCCTGGGGGGTTGAAATATCATCAACCTAGATCTTATTTGACCTCTGTTCTGATGTTTTGCTAGAGAAAGACCCTATTTTTGGGTGGTTGATGCTCCAACATATGAGATCACTCAGGTTCGAATGGAAGAGTCTACACTGAGTCTACAGCGCAAGACCGACCAGACCCTTACCGTTCATCCGCCCAAGCCACACGAAAATGCCGGTGATCTCCCCCGTGCCGTAGGAGACGGTAATCTGATCCCGGGCCTCCAAGCAGCGTGGGTGTCGACCCCGAGAGGCTAAGTTTGTCGAAAAAGAATGGAAAACCGGAGTAAGAGAAAGAAGAAAGGAAACGCCGCCCAGAGAAGGCAGATTCATGTGTTTTTTTTACGTGCCTTCTCTGGTCCAATTGGACCATCTCTGACGGGAACATCTGAGCTGGTGAACATGCCGCTCGCGCGTCCGTCCAGGACCGCGTGTTGAAAACGCGGACGTCGCCTGGTTCGGCAGCACTGGAGTCCCATCCACATCGATGTCTTGAGCGACCTGATGAGGTGAAGCGACGCGCCCGAGCGGTCATGGATTTGGCCTGGAGGGTTTTGGCCTGGTCACCGCACCCCACCGGGAGGATTTTTCGGGGAGCACCCCAACCCAGCAAGGACAAGGTGTGTTGGTTTTTACATTCAGGAGTTGCGATCAGGTGCCAGGCCATGCAGCTGTTGCGGCGCCGGTCTTCGACGGCGAACACCCGAGGCCATGCCGGCCGGACCGGCCTCCGGTCCCACCGGGGGGTCCATGTTTGGGAAGTTGGAACTACTAGAGGAGCAGCAGAAACAACGTGGCACAGACCCGCGTCCCACGGAGTAGGTATGTCGCCTCCAATGGAGCCATCGAGCTTGGCGTCATCTGCTCAGAAACCCCCACCCCATAGGCCAAAGACTGGACAGAATGTGAGGTGAATTGTTGATAGATCATGTTGATCCACCTATAGGTGGATGCCTCGCTGAGAAGCACAGTGAACTCCTTAGCTGAAGCCAGGAGCTGATGATGAACTATTAGTTCATCACCACTGCTGGGTGACTTTGGAGCAAGAACCCTGAGACTCCTCATCCTGAAACTCCACCCATCTCTTTTCAGCCCAGGGACCCAGGGTCTTTTCTTGACCCTTTTTCTTCCTATTCCCCCACCTGTTCCCCACCCATCCCCCTCACCCCATCCGCCGATCGAGCACGATCCATCACCCCAGGCACCAGCGAGGCTCGGCGCCGGTAGCGGCGGTGGCTCAGGCAGGTGGCCGAGCGACACATCACCGAGGGCAGCACCTCTGCGTGTCTCGGCGGAGAACGCGCGCACGTGTCTCGGTCTCGTGTGTCTCGCGGTTGTCCTGGGAATGCGTGGGAATGCGGGGTGAGGTGGGAATGGCTCCAAGCAGGTTACGTGACCCTCAGATGTTGGACTGTTGCGGGGATGCAGGTGCTAAAGGGACTGGAACTGGTAGGGGAAGTTCAGAAAGTCTTTGGGTGAAAAGTGAAAAGGATGTGAACCTCACCAAAACGTGGGTCGAAAACTGCTAGTAGACACTCCATCCCCGATGTGCACTTGAGTCCGGATCATCCAATAAGCATTGACATCTGAGGCCATGACCAGGTGTCCACTGCCGGTGTCGAAGACCACCTGACACGGAGGCTTCCGTTGAAACCGAGCGCGGTTTCAACACGAAAAACCTGCGACGGCTCAAGCAGAGATGTCTAAAGGGTACCAAATGTCAACTCCGAATTGCACGAAATTAAATCCCTAGAAGTCCAAAATCAGAAAACTCCCGTCGTGCGTCGCCAAAAAAAAGAGCCAATGGCATCCGGAGTCACCACCCTCACTGCCGCACCCGGTTTGACCGGTGAAGCCCCGGGCCCCTCACTGCCAAGGAGACCTGTGCATTCTCCTTCTTTCTTGATGCTCTGATCGTCCCCTTTTGGATGTGAACCAATCCACGGATCTCTTCATCTCCCGTCTTCTCCGCCACCAAACGCCCAGAGGTGACTCCCTCCGCCTCGAAGGCTTGTGGCGGTGAGCCCACGGAGATCTCCCCGTAGTAGGCGCTCTTGTGGTGCACCACACCATCCTCACCTCGAAGCAGTCTCCCCGCCCGAACCGAACTCATCCGAACCTCGGAACCCCCCGAACCGACGTCATTCTCGGAACCGCCCGGAGGTACCTGGATCTTCCCACTATGCCAAATGTCTGCCAACTTCCGACCTTGGCTGGTTTTATAGATGAAGTTCGGACGATCCAGGGCTCACCGTGCTCAGCCGGTGCTCTCAGCCGGTGCTCGGCTTGTCTTCACGGCCCCAGGGTGCGGCAGAGAAGAGAGGCGGAGCGGCGATCGGAGGGGCGGATGCCTGAAGAGGTCACGAAGCATGAGTTGGCGGACTGTCATCTCACTTCCCTAGAAGTCGAACCACCATTGTTTTAATAGCCTGGAATATATATCCTGGACTTCATATATCCTGGAATAACTTTGATGTCAACATCACTCTGAAGATCCATCAGGTACCTTTCGGAGAATAGAAATGCCCCGTGGAGGGCTTTGCTGCTGTAGACTGTAGACCACTGGAGTAGGCGAGCAACTCGGCAAAAACCGACTGGAAGACCAGCACCATTGCCAGGTTTCCGTGCCTAGCCAGACTACTCAGGGAGGTTTCCAAGCACTAGGAGAATGAACCATACTGGTACTATCAACAGATCCATGATCTGAAACCCAAACTGCTAGCCAAAATCCGTTTCAAGTTCAAAAAATACCATACACGTCACATCATATCACCAAAACTGCTGTGTTCCACCAGGTTGTTTTGCCCCCAGCTGCGCCCCCGCAAAGCGGGATCACCATGCCCAGTCGCTATGAAGCGGGATCACCTGCCGCCTCGCCAGGCCACGCACGGCTTGGAAGGGTTGGTTGATTTGGATTTTTTGATCATGGGAATGCAAATGATGCACATCATCTTGAGAAGCATCAAGAACTGTTGCTGCATTGCGGATAGTATTCAGGTTGGTCCGGGGAGTGGGGGCTTGTGCGATTCAGGTGATGTGCATCTAGTCCATGGCTGGGCTGGGCATAGAGAGATGCTTCGTACAAGGTGTATGTCCTAAATCAACTGCGACTTTCCAAATCTATGGCTTTGGGTCAAAACCAGGATAGCTTGTGTGACCTACCTGGAGGGTCGTTCGCGGCAAATGGTGAACTGGGCCGATGTCCGTAGCGACCCACAGACCCCACCTCAAGGTCACCGAAAACGGCCCATGCTCCACAGCATTCTTGGCCGCATGCACTGACAGCCCTGCCCGATCCGGTCAAACAGCAAACAGTCTTCTTCGCGGGAGCGACACAAGACTTCTTAGATCATGTTGCATGTCTTCAACGTTTCTTCGTGACGAGAACTGGTCCTGCACCTTGTCCTGCGCGCACTTCTATATGTAGACTTGCTCGGCTCGAAGAGACCCGCCCTTCTTCGCTCGACCAAAAGTTCGCCCCTGCCGCACCGCGCCTCCCAAACTGCAGCACAGCAAGGCCCAAAGGATCCGCGGGGGGCCACCCACGTGCAACGCGCGCGGTACCGCGGTACCGCGCCCGCGCAGCGGTGCTGCAAGGTCTCCGCGGTCTCCGCAGTCTCCGCGGTCTCGCGCCCAGAGGGCCTCTGGCGTTGGAGGAACGCCAGAGCACCCAGTAGTAGCAAGTGCAAAGGATGGATGCTGCGATATGAGTAGGATCGACGAGTGGTTTCTTTGATCTGAAGAATGTAATTCCATCCGTGGGCATCGAAGCTCTTTGAGACTTCGTCTTCAGCATGATCTTCACTGGGGACCCCATCTTGCCTCGGGTAGAGACTTCTATAGATTCTATCAGTCCTCAGGCGATCTTCCTCAGCGCAGTCTCTGGTATATATAATAGTTTTCATTAGTCTTCTATGGGTCGCCACTATGTCAATATGTTCTAATCCAAAATCATCCTCGATCACGTCTGCTCCCGAAAACGTCGAATTGTCTGCGTGTTTTTTTCCGCTGCAGCAGGTCCACAGCGCAGGTCTAGACCACAAATTTGGACTTCCCATCCCACAGGAATTTCCCCGCCTTCAGGACATGCACGAGCAAGGCCAAAAGTCCTGGAAGCCGAGGGGGTCAAGCTTTTCAAGTCAAGAGATGTTCAACCCAAGCTCCACGGGCGACCGAAGAATCGCTCGCTGAACTGGTCGCCCTACACCGCCCCTCCGCCCCTCCGCCCCACACGCGTCGACCGACCCAACGGACGGACGGAAGCGGAAGCGCCGCGCCGCGCGCCTCCCAGAAGGGCCGACTTCACTTCGAGGCTGCTGGTCGCGCTGAGAAGACCCTCCAGCATCGCGTCGAACGAAAAAGGAACGTCAGAACCTCAGCGGTGTCGACGCCCATCAGGTGCGCGCGCAGGCGTGCGTGCGCAGGCGTGTGGTAGGGTGCGTGGGGCAGGGTGACCCGTGTCTGCGGGGCAGGGATATGACGACATCCACATGCAGGATGTATGCTTCTGAATGATGAATTCCTCACCAAGGCCTTTCAGAAAAGTTGACATATTAACAGACTGGCCTGTGTAGGTTCCAGAACACTTATTTAGAGACCAAGAAGCGTGTAGTAGTAATGGAAGAGTCCGCAGGAGCTTGTACCTGGTCTTGATGTCTGAAAAACATAGACTTCGGTTCCGGCAAAGCTTGCTAACCCCATCGGTGAGAAAACTCTGAAACTGAAACTTCTTTTGCTGTCCCAAGAGAAGAAACTGCTCCAAAGTGGATTAGCACCACACAGCAGCCTTTGGCCTCAATATTGGTTGAACCAGAAAGATTGTGTTTCAGAGGTGAAGATGTCAAGCCTGGTATGATTATCAGCAACTGCCAGGTGGTCTGGGAGAACATCGACGGTGTTCAGACTTGATTTTGGACGATCACCAAATTTGCAAGAAAGAGTTGGCCATGCAAACGCTTCTTCTCTTAATTTTCCTTGCAGATTTCGTTATGAATATCTTCATCTTGCTTCCATTCATTCCATTCAAAGAAAAGGATTTGATGGCGACGCCTTCGAATGAAAACCCCCAGCCCTTCTGTCACCTCCACCACTACCACTGAAATGGCACCATCAGATTTTGCACTCAAAACGATGAAACCATCTTCTTGCATCTGAAGATACCAGCTCAAAGAGAAGACCCCCCCCTCCCCCCCAATTCTCCCAGTTCCACCTGCGGGGTTCCGTGAGTTCGCTCTCAGATCGCCCGAACCCCCCCGCGCGAAAAAGGCGAGCCAGGGCTGCAGGGCTGCAGCGGAAGATTGACATGGGCCGTCACGTACAACAAACCATGCTGAATAGATCCAGGTAGTAACAAGTGCCACCACTAGATCCAGGTCTTTTGGTGTCCTCCATGATGAAGTCATGAAGTCATACTCGTCAGGAAGACCTCTCTGGAAGAGACCCTCTAGTGTAGACCAAAGGAGCACATGGACCATCCTGCCACGTCACACCCGATTCGAGCTGCGATCGTTCTCACCACGGGCGGCGGAACCCAGTCCCGGTCGCATGAAACAGTGGGCTGGTTGGAACCCAGTCTGGCTGGCGCCAGCTTGAGATCCTTTGCATCGGAAAATGAATGGAACTGGTTGGAAATGGTTGGGGAAACATCCATTTCCATCTTTCTGTTTGGGACTGGGCTTCACCCACGTGGAGATTTGAAGAAGAATCGACCAAAAGCCGCACCATCCATGGACTCGGTGGAGTTCCAGGAGTCCGCTCCATCAGTTCGTGTGATGACAAAACGCACTGGTGGATTACCGAAAATCGAACCAGTGGAAAGCTGGTGGCACTGCTCTTGATCGAGAGGGATCCTTCCAGAGCACATGGAAAAGACATCACAGATTCCTCTATGCTTCGGGACGTGAAGGTGGAAGAGGTTGGGTTCCTCAGTTGCCAAATCCCTGGGTCCGGGTCGGTTCGAGCCGGCGACCCAATGGTGCTCAGCCAGCGACGGATGGTGACACAGTCGATCCCAAGATCTGTGGTGTTCCGACGGTCCCACAGCAACTTCAGGTTCATGATGAACAACACGGAAACATCCTCATGTTTGGAACAGCTGTTTGGAGGCGCTGGAAGTTGACTGTTATCTGCTTCATGAAGGATACCGTGCTGGAGGGGGGATGATCTGTTACTGTTAAAGTATAGGATTCGCGAAGACCATTCAACAATGCACCCACAAACAGCTCTTTGAGGTGGTGATCTACAAGACCACAACCCACGACCCGCACAGGACCGCACAGGACCGCCCAACCAATACAGCCCACAACGCACGACGCCGACAGCCGAGGGCAGGTGGACCCTGGTCTTTGCTTCAGTGTTCTGAATGTTGGACCTGCGCAGGCGCGCAGGCGCGCAGGCGCGCAGGCGGGCTTACCGGACCAGGAGAATCCCGCTGAAACCGAGTGACAAGGCCGTGGAGAGCCCAAGAATCTGCCAAAGTGCTAAGCCTTGGCCTCGCCGGACCATTGCTGGGATCCTAAAAAACAAAAGGAATCTTGAAGGGGGAGTGTTGCGTGTTGGAATCTGGTGTTTCTGTTCCCATTTCTTGAAGTTACGCTGAAATGCACCTCTGTGACATCCACATCGGACCATTTTGATTCGGTGGTTAGCTGGCTTTAGGGCCAAACTTTAGGGTCCAAATGTTGGACCAAGGATGTTGCAGAAAGTCTGCTCTGGATGTCCACTCTGCACCACGGCTTCTTCCACATCTCACCACTCAGGTCCGGGACCTCGGCATCTCACCACTCATGCCAGTTGAGTCTCACGCGTTTCAAGTCAGAATCAACGAGACTCATCCCAACCTTTGATCCATCTCTTTCACCAGCATCAGCATGACTCACTCGTTTGGACCACGCACGGTTCCGTGGACCACGCCATCCACGTTGGCCCGGCTTTGGAGTGTACCACAACTCATTCGTCTCGACGGAGTCGGGGCGACTCCGTCTCTGGCGCGCGAACACCCGACCACCGCGGAAGCGAACACCGCGGCCTGAGGGTCTCATTGAGACTGCGCTGACCTCAGATCCGTGCGGCATCGCATCGCCGTCGGATCCCACGAACGGAGTAGGAGGAGCCGCCGCCGTGGCGTTTCTCGCCGCCCACCCAAGGACGGGTCGGGCGGTGGTGCACATGGAAAAGTCCACTTGATATTTTGATGTTCCATCATGGACATGGCGAAGATCAGTCCAGATTCGCCCAACAAAACACCTCAGTGACCTGAACCCCGAAACCCGATCCGATCCGATCCGCTGTTCCCGCCGCGGCTTAGAACGCGGCTTTTCACGGTGGCCACCGTGTCGGCGCAACGGCTCTTGGCTTCTGAGACCTGAACGATGAAGCTCTGTAGGGTACCGGGGTGTACCAGGGGTAGAGACTTCCTGATGTGACAAAAAGGAGCAGAAGGAATCAGGACGTCCTTGGTAGATCAGTAGCATTTCTCTCAGTCTTCCCCCCACATAGATGGATGTGCGTGACTTTCTTCACTGAAAAGGTCAGCAGAAAAAGAAACAGGAATAAGGGCCATAAGGGTATTGGATCCTCAGGAATCTCTATTAGGCCATCGCTATTAGGTTGGAGGCTTTTAGTCTTAGAGCTACCCACGGATCCCAAGGAATCTCTAAGTGACGAGTCCCACGGATTCTCCAAATGGACTCCCCCCGTCGGGGGAACGACCGTCCCAAAGGCGGCACTGCACACCAAGGGGTGAAAGTTAGAGGTGCAAATCGGTGTGTCCAAACACTGAGAGTTCTTGCGTATTCATGACAGCGGCGACCCCAAATTCATCGGCTTCGGAGCTACTACACCGCCAGAACGACCAACGGGGCTCCCAAGATGGTCCAAAAACCCAGCGAAAACCCAAAGATGGGGGTCTGTGGATCTCAACAATCCACGGTGCTCTTCCCCCCTCCCCTCCCCAAACTGCCCCTCTACCTGGAGCTCGGCCCCGTTCCACCACGGTCCACCGGTGAGGGAGGTCGACCCGGGTGTCGCACCTGTCTCTCTAAGTCGGCCTTGGCGGTGTCGAACTCCTGGATGGAAGGCGGGCACGAGCTTCGGCGCACGGTCGTCCACGGCGTCTCAAGGTCTCGGTTTCAGTGTGCTGCACTCAGGTCAGGTTCATCTATTCTAAAAATCCTTGCCTGGTTGAGAGTGGTGCGGGCAGCTCGTCTTTGGTCAAGGATCTGCAAATAGTGAGTTCACTCGAACTAGATGGTTGATGTTGATCCATCGCATGATGCCCGTCACCGTCTCAAGAAAAGACCAACAGACTGACGTAGATCTTCCGATCAGGTCACCGAACCGTTCGGGATGAGAGTGGAACATCCCAGCGACGCTCTGTGAGCGTTTGGCCGAACCGGTCACTCAAAACAAAAGGAATTGGTGGTCTGGACCCCCTTTATGAGGATTCGGGTACGGTTTACGTCGGGTCCATGAGCATCTGGGCGTTCCGGAGCTCTCGTTCTTTCGAAGTGTAACTGTATGATGCTTTCCAAATGCAAGTAATGCGAAAGTGAGTCCCAGCATCACGAGCATTTATACTTCCAAGCTCATATCTCATGTTAGTTCTAAAGCTATTCAGCCCTTCTGTTGATGTTCTAAATGATTCTCGCTCAAGTTTTGCCCCAAAAACGCTCGTCGTCCTCAGCAACCTTCTGGAGCTTCCGGATCTTGCCTCGAGAAAAGCACGTTCCGTTCGGTGCCAGTGCCAGGATCAGCAACACAGTATAATATAGCTTTCAGAAAAAGACTCAAAAAAGCAAGAAAGTGCCGTTAAAGACTCTTCACGAGAATTGGGTGTTGACTTTGGTGCTCCAGCGGTCCGCTCGTATCAGTTGAGCCCTGAAATCGGTGATGTGCAATCAGCACACACCGCCCACTGAGCACAGATTCGCAGTTCTATTCTTTGGCGACGTGCTGGTTCTCTTGCTCATCTGACATGTGCCAAATCACTGAATGATCATGATTATGCTTATGTCACCACAACAAGGCGCATTCTTGACAATGGTCTTTGTGCGGGCCTTGGAAGGGTGATCATCACAAAGGGATAAAAACAGTAGATCCAAGTATACCCACCCATCGACTGGCTTGGTAGCTACTCACCGAAACAGTCAGCAAGTGTGTCAATTCCCAAGGGAATTGTATGACAAACACTTCCGCTGGGTCTAACATTCTACTCGCACCCCAAAATGGCCCCAACACTCTAATCACTCCACAGAGAAAAAGCTCCGCAAAGACCCCCATGTGGCCAGTGGTGTATCGCTGATTTCGCTGGGTGCAACGATCTCTGTCTGACAGCAGTCGGGCGCA